ACCCAGCTCCTGGTCAGAAATAGGTCAGCGCGTGGGGACACATATACCTGGGCATGCCCCCTCAGGGCCCGCTCCAGGTCTGCTCGGGGCCCACGTTCTCTTGCCCCTTCACTCTAGCATCCGCACCCTCTGGCCCCTTGCTTCCTCGACCCCTCTGTCCCTGGGATCCCCACCCTAGTTCCACACGAGTGGGTGTGCTTTTCCACGAGGGTGCTCGTGTCCCGTTGTGAACCCCTTTGAGACAGTAAAAGATGACACTTGTCCTGTCTGTCATAAAAACCCACTTGGATTATAAAATGGGCTTCGCGTGAATTCTCTCATCGTGCGAAGCCAAGAACGGAAGTGTTGCCCACCGGAGAACCCTCACAGAGGCACCTCCCCTGTGAGTTGCTGAGCCTGGTTTTGGGAGTAGAAAGCCCCACCTCTTTCCCTCGGAGATGCTGGTGGTTTCGAACTGCTGGACTCGTGGTTTGCAGCCTGAAGTGGAACTACTCTGGCACCAGGGCTTCTTCAGGAAGTATTACATTCAGTAAGTTAGTGTCTCTTCCGTCCTGGGGTACCCTTGCAGGGGTGCGGGGTTGATGAGGCGAGAGGACCGAGTCGGGGGTGAATCGGGTCAGTCTCCCGGAGTCCCAGAGAGCTCTGGCTCCATGCCTTGAGCCCCCACCCTCTTTCTTCCTCCGGCTGGAGGTCTTGCTAGGCCTAGCCCCTCCCCATCTCCACAGTACAGGATGCCGCCTCTTATAACTCTAATAGCAGCCAATCTTCCTCACCCTGTCCCCACTGCCACCCACAGAGACAAATGGGCTGCGATTCTGCTGGAGGCTGGGAGGCTGCTGGCCAGCTCCTGGGTCATTGTTCTGAATGTCACCGAGAGGCTGAAAGGGAGGGGACCCTAGGGACTGCAATTACCAGTCGATTCAGCTGCCCAGAAGAAAGCCCTATGATTAGCTAACGGCGGGTGGGGAGGAGTTGAGGAAGGGGGCCCTGGCAGCTCTGGGAGGAAGGCCTGGCATGAAGTTGCTGCCCACGAAGGGCTTGTGAGCGCCAGGTTCCCTTGGTGGGGGTAGGGCGTGTGTCTAGGAGCCTCAGTGCCGCACACCACGGTAACCCTTAGTCTCAGCCTCCGTTACTTCTTCGTACACCCCAGCTCCCTGACCCTCCCCTCGACACCCGGCATCCACAACAGCTCTCTTCCAGGTCTTCTGTTCTTGGGAAGCCCCTCTCACCAGGCAGGCTCCGGGCGCCAAGATAAAGTTTCTCCTGACTCCAGCCTCCTCCTCTGGCAGCTGCTCCTCTCTAGCTGGCTGTGGAAGGGTGTCTTGAGGCCAGTGCCAGCACCGTCCCCCACCTCCAGGTCCCTCTCAGGCAGGTTCTGCTGGGTCTGAGGGTGTGTGGCTGAAGCAGCTTCTCTCTGAGTAGGCAGGGCAGTGGGTAATCGGTTTACATAGATCAGCTGCCACAGCAGTCCCTGGGGATAAGCCCAGCAGCTCAAATAAAAGGGCCATTGCACAGCCCTCCCACTTGGGCCAGGGGAAGAGGGCCAGACTGGAAATCCATGCTGATCACGCTCCTGGAAAAGTGAGGGAGCCCCCTGGCTGCCTCTGAGTCCGAACACCAAAGCCCTCAGAAGACCCCAGAGCATTGATCGGAGCGATGGGTGTGGATTCCTTTCCATGGCCTCCAACTGGCTTATCCTGGGAAATTCTCTGAAGAGGTCATTGAGGTAGTTAGTCGATTGTGCCAACCTGGCCGATAAACACATGTGGGATTAATTGAAGGGCGGAGAGAGAAATGTCTCGGTGAGGCTCCCCTTTGTTATCTCTTGCTCTTTGATCATCGGACCAGTATGCGGCTGCCTTGCTTGTTCTGTGCCTCAATTTGCAAGCTACACTACCTGTGGGACACCTAAGCCGTGGACTGTGTCGCTGTAATTTGAGGTTTCCTCAAGACCTGCTTCGCCACACCATTGGAATTTACATCTCTTGAGCTGGGGACTGTCAGACCCTGTCACCTGGGTGACTGTTGGTGAGCTGCCTTGCTGTTTGCTGCCTGTGCCCGGATAGCCTGAATTTCCCTCAAGACTTGAAGGACTGCCAGTGTCTCACAACTGTTTCACGGGAGTGAGCTGCACTGAGCCATTTGTACTGCTTTATCATTTAATTAACTGTTTGTTTCTTATGTTATATATCTATCTGTATAAATATATATATATAAATATATATATATATATAATTACTAGCATTCTGGTTTTGTTTCTCTAGAGAACCTTAACACAGCCATCATTTGGTAGGAAACCATGCTGTCTTGGAGTTCTGCACCCCAACCCAGGTCTCCTCTGTCCCCAAGGGCTTTGTGACCGGATCTCTAACCTTGATACATTCTTCCAGAGCAACTCAAAAAGAGAAATTTGGGCTATACTCTCCAGAAGTGGGAGCCCCGGATTGGGGGAAGGATGAGAGGGGGTCGTGAGGGCTGCTGATGGGATTGTGGGGGTAGTCATGTTGACAGTCTGATAGGAAAAAGAGACATTTTAGGGGGAATGCCCCAAGAAGCCAAGGACAGACACGGACTGACACACATACACTGTTGGCTCTCCAGAAGACATTGAGCAAGCTCCTCCCAGAGAAACCAAGAAATGGACATCAGACAAAGACACACGGACGGACGGATGGACGGACGGAAACACACTCTAGGAAACTACCAACCAGACAGACAGGACAATTTGAAACAACCAGGAAATGGGCAGAGAGCACCCGAAGGCCTGTGCCAACGTGGGGCAAAGCTCACAGCCCCCACACAGAGGGGAGGGCTGGAGGAGGCCACGGCAGGCCCTTCCTGAACCAACTGTGAAGAAAACCTCTCCTTCCTTCCTTCCTTCCCCAGAGCTCCTCGACCCCAGCCCACTGCAGGCTCCTCCAGGGGCAGACAAACAGACCTCTGGGAACCTGAGATCATCGTGGACTTCTGACCATCCCCACCCCAAGTCCTGGAAAAGAACCAGCCCCCATGAGAGGGTAGCACCTCTATCTCCCCAGTCCTACACAAACACTCTCTCTCGCTCTCTCTCTCTCTCTCTCTCTGTCTCTCTCTCTCTCCTGCTGGCTCCCTCTCCCACGTAGCAGACCAGATCCTCCCACCCATTCCCACCAGGAGGCAGGGCGCAGGGCAGGTGAGGACAGAGGCAGGTGAGGAGAGGCTTGTGAATGAGGCTGAGGCGGAGAGTGGAAGCGAGCAAGGGTCACCGGAATCCAGAGGAGCTGAGGGCAGTTTCATGTCCCTCCAGACCCAGACCCAGGCCCTTGTTGGTATCAGTAAAGATGTCATGGAATTGGGGACGATTCTTCTCTCTCTCTCCCTCCCTCACCTCCCCAGGAAGGGCATTTTGAGGGGACAGATCTGGCGCTGGTATCTGAATGGTGGCAGCTCCCAATCTCTCTGGCCTCTCCCCTGATCACCCCTGGTCTTTCTCTTCCCCCATTTCTCTACTTCCCTCTAACCTCCAGGTGAGCCACTTGCATCCTAAGGCCTTCTAAATGGGGAGGGCACTGTCTTCAAGTCCCTGGGCCAGGCACAGAGCCAGACACACGCAGAACAGGAGCTCAGCAATGGGTCCTGCCTTTTCTCCTCCCTCCCTCCAACGTGCTTGGCCTCAGGGATGCCCATCCTTCCCTCAGCCTGGATGGAAGGATACTGAAGCTGACCACTGCCACGTCCAGTCCCAGCTCCCAGAGTTCCCTCTTCCTCACCTCCTTTCTCAGGGGCCGCCTTCCACCGGCCCCCACCCCTTCACAAAGAACAAACAGCAGCCCCTTCAGGGTATGGTCTCCTGCCATCAACCACCACCTCTGGGTGCCACCCCGTTGTTTTCCACAGCAACAGGACCCTAAATAAAAAGCCTGGGAGCAGGAGCAAGCACTGGGAGCCGGTCTCCAGCTCACGTCTATGTGCTGGTCTGTACCGACTGCGTGGTTGCAAACGTGTACCATTAGCGTTCTAAACCTTATTTCCCTCTCACTTGCATCCAGGATAAAAGAAATAAATATAAAAAGTGGTATAAGCTCACAACTGGTTAGACAGAAGTGCTATTTCTAGATAGTTAAGCAACTGTCACGCTGAGGCCCAGGGCAGCCAAATAACTTATTAGCCCAAGATCATGCCTACCCCTGGAGACTGGGAATGGGGCATATTTCAGACCCGGATGCAAGTATCCTGGCTCTCAGAGAAGTAGAGAACAAGTACAGAAAAGGGAAATGTGCAGAACCGAGACCAGACAAATGGATGGAAGAGAGAGCGATGTAGAACCGAGACCAGACAAATGGATGGGCGAGAGAGCGATGCATACTAATACACGGTGATGGCAGGTGTGGATGAGCAGGAAAGGCAGCGCAAAAGGGCTGAGAGATCAAGATGAATGTAGAGGGAGAGAGAGGCAAGCGTTGATGGAGAGAGACTAAAAGGAGAGGAGGCAGGAGGAGAGAGGAGTAGGAATAACCCAGAGAAGAATGAGAAAGCCTAAGAGAGTGAGGCCCAACCCTGACTTCCCAACGCTCCAGCTTCCTTCCGGGCTGTCAGTGAACCCAGTGTGGGTGGAAAAGCCCTCACTCGCAATGAAAGCCTGTCCTCTTAGGCCCTTTGTGGAAAGAAAGGATTTGAAACAGCAATATAGAAATCTTTGATAAGAGGAACCAATGATTGAGTACCCACTAAGTGCCAGGCGTCCTACTATGTATGTAAGTTTAAAAGCAAGTGTGTTTTTTTTTAACTTCCTGGAAGTATATATATATAGAAGGGAGGTGTGGAGGCTTGGGAGCTTAAAAGTTGGACAGGTCTCCTCTGGGATTCGGAGGAAGGAGAGAGAAATGAGCACATGAGCAAAGAGGCCGAGAAAAAGCAGCAAGACTCAGGAGGAGGAGGTCAAGGAAGGCAGTGTTGTGTGGTTTGCTGGGAGAGGAAGGGAGGAAGGGGCAGGGAAAGGAGGACCCTCCCTCAGTTCCCACCTGTGGGAGGCCAGGTCGGAGCAGGTGGGCTTCTGCTCGGCGTCAGCAGCGGGGCAGCAGAACTGGTGCAGCACAGTCTCATTCCTGTGGACAGAGCAAAAAGAGGAGGTCAGGGCATGGTCAAGGCAGGGGCTGGATCCCATCCACCCCCGGACAAAGGCATTTCTGTCTGGGAACCTTGTTTCCCCTTCCCTGCCTTTCCAGTCACTTGGTGAAGGCTGGGAGGACTTGAAGCTGTTGCTGATAAAGTTCAAGGATTGCAGCCTGCAATAAGGCGCACAAATGTAAGGAAGACCCAGATCCTCACAACTGAACCAGTAGGTAACACCTTGATAAATGGAGAAAAGGCTGAAGTTGTCTAGGATTTTGTCCTGCTTGAATCCACAATCAATGCTCATGGAAACAGCAGCCAAGAGAACCAAAGACCGATCGCATTAGGTAAATCTGGAGCACCAGACTTCTTTAGAGTGGTGAAAAGCAAGGATGTAACTTTGAGGACTAAGGTGTGCCTGACCCGAGCCATGGTATTTTCAATTGCCTCCAATACATGTGACAGTTGGACACGGAGTAAAGATAGAAAAAGAATCGATGTACTTGAATGATGGTGCCGGAGAAGAATACTGAAAGTACCATGGCCTGCCAAGCCAATCTCTCGTAGAAGAAATATGGCCAGAGTGCTCCTGAGAGGCAAGGATGGCAAGACTTTATCTTACATACTTTGGACATGTTGTTAGGAGAGAACGTTCCAGAACATCGTATTTGGTAAAGTGGAGGGACAGGGAAGACGAGGAAGGCCCTCCGGGGATGGCCTTGGCCTCAACAATGGGCCCACGCATGGGAACAATTGTGGGGGTGGTGCAGGACCAGGCAGTATTTTGTTCTGTTGTGACCACGGTTGTCATGGGTCGGAACCAACTAGATGGCACCTAATAACAACAACAAAGTAGCCAAGAGGAGTCCTTACTAGTGGTTAAGCTCGTAGCTGCTAACCGAAAGGACAGCGATTCGAGCCCGCCAGCACGAAAGCCGTGTGGCCGTCTACTTGAATAAAGATTGATGCTGAGGAGACCTCCTGGAGCATTTCTGCTCTGACCTGTAGGGTGATGAGTGGCCTCGGCGGCAGTGGGTTATTCAATGGAGGCAGTCAACACTGCTTCAGGGATGGGAGTGCAGCATTGACTTTCTGCCCACCAAAGTCTTTTTCAATTGTCCACCAGGCCCAATTCAAGTACCACTTCCCTAACTTCTCCATCATCCAACTCTTCCCACCTCTGCACCTCCTCCCAGCATGAACTATGATTCCACTCCATCTTCTGTCACACTGAATTCTCTAGAACCCTGTCTACCGCCCCCACCCCCCACACTGTAGTCTTGCCATACAGAACTAGGTCTAGCCACCGGTGATGCACAGAATTAACATGCAGTTAACACAGCCCAGCTGTGAACGGAAAGGTTAAAGGTTTAAATACACCCAGAGGCACATCCAAAGTGCAACTATTTCTGAGAATTCAGCCACTGTCCACCCACTGAGTTCCACTCTGACAAGCACGGACTTGCTGAGTTGGGGTTGACCCCACTGCAAGTGGGATTTTAAACATTTATTATATACATATATAAAGGTTATCGTACACAAAGATACCCACCACTTGTCTTTCAGTTAATACTGTTGCACTAAGATAAACCAAGACCTCATTAAAGTGTTGAAAAGCAAGGATGTTACTTTGAGGACGAAGGTGCACTGACCCAAGCCATGGTATTTTCAATGGCCTTAAAAACGTGCAAGTTGGACCTGGACTAGTTGGACAGAAGAAAACTCGATGTGCTTGAATTACGGTGTCGGCGATGAATATTCAAAGCACCGTGGCCTGCCGAAGAACAGACAGAACTGTCTTGGAAGAAGGGCGGCCAGAATGCTCCTTAGAGGCAAAGATGGCGAGACTCCTTCTCAGGTGCTTTGGACATGTTATCGGTCCCGGGAGAAGACACCATGCTTGCTGACGCGGAGGGGAAGAGGCAAAGAGGAGGCCCCCCCGACACGATGGTTGACGCCGTGGCTGCTACAGTAGGCTGAAGCACAGGCACAGTGGTGAGGTCGCTTTGTTGTCCACAGGGCTGTGATGGGTTGGAACTGACCCAAGGGCACCAAAGAGCAACAACGTGGAAAGAGCAGAAACATTCATACGGACTTGAAATCCCAGGGGTGATGCTGTCTATGTCTGGGAAAGTTTGTTTGATGCAGATGAAAAAGTCAGCCCGGGAAGGAAGAGATCTGGGCTCCAATCCCATCTCTGCTGCTACCCAGCTAGATGGTCCAGAGTTCCCCCTGTTTGGGGTCTCGTTTTATTTACTAAAGAAATAACAGAGTGGAACTAAAGCAGTGCTCTCAGCCCTGGCTGCATCCTAGAATCACCAAGGAGATTTGTTTGTTTGTTTGTTTAATCTGATGTCTGGACCCCCACCTCCAGGAATTCTGTCTGATTTGCTAGGTCTGGCATGGATCCAATCCCTGGGTCCAGGGCTCCAGTTCCCAGGGGGCTCTAAAGACAGCCAGGGTGGAGCGTCACCCTGGGCTAGAAGACTTCCAAGATCACTCCCAGCTCTAAAGTGATGTGATGAGATTATTTTCCTTACTTTCCTTTAAAAGTCTATATTAATTGCAGATCTCCTTTTATAGGAATAAAAACGCAAGATAAAAATCACAACAGGGAACCAACTTGCAATTACTTTGGGCAAGGTCAGGCTGACTCCTTGCCATCCCTCCCTTCCCAAGCAGTCCCTGTGCCGGGCATTTGCAGAGTCAGACCTGGAAGGACCACAGAAACCACTTGAAAGGGACTTCCAAACTTCCTTTAGCTTCAGACAGAAGAAATACGGGTTTCCTACTCCTGTGAAGAGCGCCAGGCTCTGAAGCCCACAGGGCAGTTCGACCCTGCCCTACAGGGTCGCTGTGACTCAGAACGGGCTCGATGGCAGGGAGTTTGTTTTTGCGTTTTCAGCTTCAGGACCCTTCCCTGACTCGTAGGGCACTCTTTTCCATCCACGAAGTTTCCGTTTTTCTCCAACCAGACTGCCATGGAGTCGAAGCTGACGCATAGTGACCCTACAGGACAGGATCCCATAGGATCCTCTTGGAGAGCCCAGCCTAGATTGTAGCTCTTTATGGGAGTAGAAAGCCCCGTCTTTCTCCCAAGGAGTGGCTGATGGTTTTGAAGTCTAACAAGTCACCACTATGCCACCAGGGCTCTTTAGTTGCTCCCTAATGGCTGTTTGGTCCTTGGTTCGGACCAAATCTCCACTGGAAGTCTGTTTCAGAAAGTGGTGAAAGCAAGAGAGCTCGAGGTTTGACGGCTGGAGCTACGCCACATCACTGACTTGAGACTCAATTGTCGTCACCACCAGCCCCAGCTCGGTGAGAACAGGCTAGAAAACGCCGTGTTTGGCTGCCCCCATGAAGGAAATCACCACTGCAGCCTACTTTAATTTGGCAAAATGAATTCCAGAGACATCTCACACTTATGGGGAAAAACAAACAAGAGAAACTTAAAGAGCATTTAGGAACATAGCCTAGTTGTTACGGGAGACACTTTGAGTACAAACAAGAAACCAAACAGCCAATTAAAGAACCAATAAAGCTGCCTGTTTATATAAGTTCTATAACTTGAAAACATCATGTATGAAAAGAATGCTCTAGAAGTTAAATAAGGGGTCCTGGTGACATAATGGTGATGTGTTGGGCTGTGATCCGCAAGGTCAGCAGTTCAAAACCTCCAGCCACATCACGGGCGAAAGATGGGACTTCTACTCTCATGAACAGTGGCAGCCTCGGAAACTCTCTGGAGCAGTCCTACCTTGTCCTCGGGGGTCGCTATGAGACAGTGTTAACTCGATGGTAGTACGTTTGGTTTGTGGGTTTTGCTTGGGTGGCACAATGGTTGTAGCGGTTTCTTGAAAGGTCACCGGTTTGAACCCACCGGCTGTGGCGTGAAAAAAAAGACCTGGTGAACAACTCCCATGGGCCTTTCCACTCGGTCGTGGACTCACTGCCACCAGGTCGATTCGGACTCACAGCTACTCCCTAGGCCAAGTGGAACTGCTCCTGAGACTGCACACCCCTACGGGCGTGGATCGCCTCATCTCTCTTCCACACAGTGGCTCGTAGGCTGGACCGCTGCTCATTCTTGTCTCACGGCACCACTAGGGCTCCTTGTCCTGTCGGACAGGGCCGCTCTCTGTGGGCATTGACTTGATGGCACACAGAGACAACTAAGCCAAATGACAAACAATGGGCCGAGAAAATACATTTGCAACACCTAGAACCAAAGACCAGTCGATCTCCTACATTTTTAAAGAGGCAAAGCCACTGCGTTGAGTGGATTCTGACTCAGAGCAGCCCTGCCTAGGGTTCTGAGGCTGTGAATCTTTACAGGAACAGACAGCCTCAACTGTCTACAGAGCGCCCACAAATTCCGCATGTAAAGACAATCCCCGCAGGGGAAAAGTCCTATTGTGTGACTAGTGCAAACATATTAAAATTGAGGAGGTACCTGGTCAAGCACTAGAGAGTGTTAGGAGCCCATAGAAATACTAACACAGTTTTAGAAAGGAGATGTACCATTTTTATCTTGAAGTTTTGTGAATTTTCATAAATGTCCACCATCAAAGATTCGAGGGGCCATGTAAGACGCAACCATCGGCCTCCCCTCTCAAAAGCAAAGAAGAGTGAAGACGATCAGAGACACACAGAGGCTATTAGTTCAAAGAGCTCATGGTCCACGTGAAGCCCAAGCTCCACAACTCTGAGACCAGAACTGGACGGTGCCTGGCTACCACTGTGGACTGCTCTGAATTGGGATCACAATGGTGGGTTGTGGACAGAGTGAGTGGGAGAAAAATAATAGACCAAAACTCAAGATCATGAGACAGACCAGGCTTACTGGTCAGGTTGAGCTTGGTGGAGCCAATCCATGACTCTTAGACACCCTTTCTGCCTGGAACTAAACTTATTCCCATGGCTCAATTTATAAACAATAGACAGGCCTCTAAGGTAAGCAATAACACTAAGGAGATAAGCATTGCTTCGACTG